GAGGGAGCGAAGGAAGGGATGAAGGAGGAAGGGGACAGAGGATGGAGGAAAGGGACGGTGAGGGATGAAGGAGGAAGGGGATGGCAGAGGGAGGGAGCGAAGGAAGAGATGAAGGAGGAATGAAAAGCAGGTTAGAGCGAAGGAAGGGATTGAGGAGGAACGGTAAGCCGGTTACAGTGACGGAAGGGATGAAGGAAGCAGAGGAGGGATGGAGAGGTGGAAGGATCGGAGGGGGGGATCCGCCAGGGGACCTGTCCCCTCCACGTGCCCAGACTCCAGAGAGGCCATCCAGGCCCTGGTGCTCACCGTTCTCCAGCGGCGCTGCTAACGCTCTGTCCGGGTTGAAATACGACATGGAGGCGGCCAGCAAGACGACGGGCCCCTGCCTTAGCATTGTCGGGGCTCGGCGGGCATCGATCGGCAGGGGCCACCGGCGGGGAGACGGCCTAGGTCCGGGGCGGGAGCAGGGGGGACCCAGGGGAGGGAAGGCAGGCACGGGCCAAGCCACCTGAAACGGGGCAGGTGCGCGGGACAGGGGGGGCACACCCGGTGGCTTTCACGCATCCGAAGGGGCGAGGGGGACCCGGGCCGGAGGGCACCCCGGCTTCGCATCGCCGGGAAGATGGGCCGGCCTGGCCTCGGCTGCTACCTGCTTTTCATCCCGAAGCATCTTCCTTCCTTCCTCCGCCTCAGGGCCCCAAGGGGAAGGAGGGAAGGGGCCAATCCGCCCAGCGGAGGGCTGGCAGGGGCCAAGCAATAGAACGGATCAGACGCGGGTTATGCCCATGCCAACAATAGACGGGGGAGGAGGAGAATTGGGGAGGGTGGGTTGCAGGGTGGAAAGGAAGACGGGGGGGGGGAGATCCGGGCAGACGTCTGGGTTTCCCCCCCACTTTGCCAGGGGTGGGGGGGGCGGGGAAGTGGAAGGGGGGGGGGAAGGGGAGAAGAAAAGGAGGATCAAATCCAATGGGAGGCTGGCTGATTTCGGCATCCGCCTGGCTGGGGAGCTCGGCTGCTGGAATTGATGGAGACAAGACCCACCCCCTCGGACAGACACCCCCCCGCCCCGCCGCCGGGCTCGCGGATTGGGCCCGGGAGCTGTCCGTCAGGGCCAGAAGCCCAAAGAAAGGAGAGAGGAAGGGAGAGGGGGCGGGCGGAGAGATGCAGGAGATGGAGGGGGGGAGCGTCTCCATGGTTACCTTCTCCCTGGTACCAGCCTCAACAGCAGTAGGGCACTGTGGGAGAGGGATGGGGAGGGAGGGTGTGTGTGTGTGGAGGGGGGATTTTGGGGAGAGGGTGGAGTTTGGGGGTGCAGGGGGTGCGGGGAGCTGCCAGGGGATTCCCCAAGCCAAGATGGGGAAAAAGGGCTGGGTAGAGGTGTCATGCGCAAACACGCACAGTGTCACATACACAATGGGACACACACACACACAAACGGCTCGCACACACCCTGACAGTGTCACATACACACACGGCTCGCACACACCCTGACTGTCACACACACAGCTTGCACACACCCTGACAGTGTCACATACACACACAGCTCGCACACACACTGTCACACACACAGCTCATACACACACTGACTGTCACATACCCACATGGCTCACACACGCCCTGACAGTGTCAGATACACACATGGCTTGCACACACACAGCTCATACACATACTGACTGTCACATACCCACATGGCTCACACACACCCTGACAGTGTCAGGTACACACATGGCTCATACACACACTGACAGTTTCATACACACACACACGGCTTGCACATACACTGACAGTGTCACACACATGGCTGGCACACACACAGCTCATATATACCCTGACTGTCACACACACACACACGACTTGCACACATATGCGGCTCACACACACACTGACAGTGTCACACACACACAAAGCTTGCACATACACTGACTGTCACACATACACACGCAGCTCATACACACACTGACAGTGTCACACACCCGGCTTGTACACATCCCGACAGTGTCACATACACACACAGCTCATACAATGAGAGTGTCACACACACAGCTCATACACACCCTGACAGTGTCACACACACGGCTCATACACTCACTGAGTGTTATGCACACTTGGCTCATACACACACAGAGTGTCACACGCGCAGCTCATACACACACTGACACTCTTACACGCAGACATGTCCATGTGATGTCTCCTATACACACAGAGCATCACACACAAAGACTGTCTCCTGCACACAGAATGTCACAACACCATGTCTCCTACACACTCACAATGGCTCCCGCACAAACCCATGCTGCCACATGTCCCCATGAGGTCTCACACACAGTGTATCACATACACACATCTCACACACAGGAATACAGTGAGGTGTGTGTGTACGTCACAAAAACACATATTTATTGTTTTTGTGGCAGTCTTGTCCAGCGGCCCCAGGCAAGGACCAGACCTCATTGTGCGGGGTGCTGTATAGATCCATAGACCGAAATGCCGGCGTGTGCCCTAAAGAGATTACAACCTAAGTACACAATTACACACAATGCCACGTGCACAGACACACACGGTGTCACAGACATCCTCAGTTTCCCACACACACAGTTTCATACACAGTATCATGTACCCAGACACACAATATCATGCAAACACAGCCACACACAGTATCGCGTACCTGGACACACACACATTGTCACACACGGACACACAGTCACACACACAACACATACACACTCACACAAAGACACAGTCTCACATACCCAGGCGCACACAGTGTCACACAAACACAGTTACACACACAATGTCACACATGGACACACACACAAAGGCACTGTCACACACACAGTCACACACAGAGTCTCACAAATCCAGACTCACAGTTCCTCATGCACACACACAGCGTCACATGCAGTCACAGAGTTTCACATACCTGGACACTCACTCTCTCTCTCTCTCTCTCTCTCTCTCACACACACACACACACAGAGTCATGCACACAGTGTCATACGTAGACACACACAGGCATTGTCACACATACCCAGACACAGTCTCTCTCTCCTTCACACACACACACAGTCACATGTGCACACAGTGTCACACAAACATAATCAGTCACACACAGTCACATACCCAGACACAGTCTCTCTCTCTCTCTCTCTCTCTCTCTCTCTCTCTCACACACACACACAGTTACACACACGCAAAGTTTCACATACCCAGACATACAGTCTCTCTCTCTTTCACACACACACACAGAATCACATGTGCACAGTGTCACACAAACATAATTAGTCACACACAGTCACACTGTCATAGTGTCTCACACACACACGCAGTTTCACATACCCAGTCTCTCTCTCTCTCTCTCACACACACACGAAGTTTCACATACCCAGACACACAGTCTCTCTTTCTCACACACACCCAGTCTAACACACACACACAGTGTCATACCCACAAACACACACACAGTGTATCACACTAGCTAACGGAGAGGCCTCCAAATGCCCCTGAAAACAGGCACCCTCCTCAAGCGGGTGTGTTTCTGGGATGGGGGGTGGGGGCACCAGGCTCGGTTCTTGGCCATTTTTATTATCAATGACCCGGGAGCAAACAGAGCACCCCGTGCCGATAACACTAACGACCCGCTGATGGGGGCTGCGGTAAATTGAGACGGAGCTGGGGGCAAAGTCCTCCGCCCAGGAGCAAGGAACCAAGGCCCGTGCTTTGGGCTGGGTGGGGGCTCGATGCCAGGACATGGCATCTGGAAAAGATCTGGGGTCGTGTTGGAGAATCAGCTGACCACACAGGCACTATGGGCCAAAGGGGTAAGGCCAGATCTCAAAGAGTTTATTTCACCTCTGGGTTTGGCCTTGGTGCGACCGCGGCTGGACCCCAAGAAGGACAGTGCTCAATCGATAGGGCCCTACCAAATTCACCACCGTGAAAAACGTGGCACGGACCGTGAACTCTGGTCTCCCCCGTGAAATCTGTATATTGCCCTATGCTATACAGATTTCATGGGGGAGACCAGCATTTCTCCAACTGCGGGGCCTAAGCCAAAAAGGGGTCATAGGGGGGTCACAAGGTTGTTGTAGGGGGGTCGCGGTATTGCCACCCTTACTTCTGCGCTGCCTTCAGAGCTGGGCGGCCGGACAGCGGCGGCTGTTTAGTGCAACAAAAAGACGGTGAAGGGGGGACTTGATTTGTCTCGTGAGGGGAACAAATGTTTAATCTCGGCCGCCTCAGCCTGGCCGAGGATGGTTGGAGCCTGATCCCACGGCTGGAGGTTGAAGCTAGACCCATTTAGACGGCAAATCGGGGCCGGGGTTTGAACAGGGAGGGGAAGTTACCAAGGGGCCCGGTGGATTCTCCTGCCCCGGCAATTACACACACACACACACACACACAGAGCCAGGCAGGGGCGGAGTCCCAGGCCAATAGTCACTCTGGTGGGGGGCGCAGGTTGTGTCGGATGCAGTGGAAACCCCCTCCCACCCCACACAGGGAACCAGCGCCGAATTTGAGCAGAAACCTCTCGTGCACCAGCACCCCTATGCTGGGATCCCCCCTCACCCCACAGCCCCCCCCCCGCTGGGATCCTGATCCCCTCACAGCCCGCCCCCCGCTGGGATCCACCCACCCCTCCACCCCACAGCCTTCCCTGATGGGATCCTCCCCTCCCAGCCCCCTCCCCCCGCTGGGATCCCCCTCCACCCCACAGCCCTCCTCCCCTCCACAGCCCCCCTCTGCTAGGGTCCCACTTTGCCCCCCTGGCCCCTATCACAGTCCCCCCCCCCACGATGTTGCGAGGGTAGCACAGAACCCGCAGCCCCACTGCTCAGCCCCTCAGGGTGCCACCCCAGGGGATCGCTGAGCTGAGACACCCCGGGGAGCTGAGTCAGAGAGATGGGGAGCGGCGGGGGCGGGGGGGAGGGAGATGAGAGGAATGTGATGTCATCATTGTCACAGACAGACTCGCGCACACACACAGTCTAGACACACACATCCCCAACCACAAAGACAGACACCCCCCCCAACCACACAGACACATACATCCCCAACCACACAGACACATACATCCCCAACCACACAGACACACATCCCCAAACACACAGACACACAGACAAGCCCAAACACACAGATATAACCCCAAACACACAGAAATATAGAAAAAAATCCAAACACAGACACATACAACCCCAAACACAAAGATACAGACACAACCCCATACAGACACATTCACACGCACATACAATCCCAAACACACACACACCAACTCATAATCCCAAACACCCAGACACACACACACACTCACACAACCCCACATACTCATGTACACATGCACAACCAAAACACACACACACACGTGTATGCATGGACCTACAACCCCAAATACACACC